CCCCCCCCCCCCGCCGCCTTGCTTGCTCTCTCTCTCTCTCTCTCTCTTATCTGTATAAGCAATCACACACACTTTTATTGAATTTAAGGCAAGCAAAGAATATATCTATAAAAATATGAAAGAATGGATCCAACTTTACTCTCCACTGATGTGTACAACAATTGACCAGTTAATAATCCTTTTGTAACATAAGATTGGATGCTTTGGTCTTAGAGCATAGTTAATTGAAACATGTGGGTATCAAATTTCTATTGATTTTGCCTTCAATTGCCTTTCTATCATACACAGGAAACTTACATCAATCAAAATAGTAATTTGCATTACACCTGACTCTAGCTTTGTTCCTCTTCAATATTAATACTCACCAGACATTAATATACAATAAAAGGGTCTTGGAGGTGATTTAAGACACATGTGAAAACTAAGGAAGGAAAGGATATTTGAAAATATTTTTAAAAATAGTCAAAAACTATATTTCTCATATGTTGAGAAACTGATGGAAATAATTTTGGGATTAATGAAATTTTTCATAATTTAGCACTTATTCTGGGCAAATTTTGCATGTGGTTATTTTGCACAGAAAACAGCATTTTTTATACAGACATATTTCTGTGCAGAAAATTTATTTTCTGTACCAAAAAAATTCTTTCCTGTGTAGAATATTTTGTTTTTGCACAAAACAGCCACATGTGAAATTTGCTCAGAAAGAATCCCAAATTGCGAGTATCCTTCAAAAACTATTGTTTCCAAAAACTTTCTCACAATGGGAAGAAAATTGTTAAAAAAAATATTCATTGCTTCCTTTGAGAAGAAAATTAGCAAATAATTAGATCCCTCATGGACACACATTCTCATGCAATGCCTTTAAGATATTTTAGGTACTTTAGGGATTTGAATTTTTGCTTTTTTTTATTCTTTGCCTATAAGCATGAAAAATGGCAAAAGTTCTGATTACATGATTGCAAGAGTTTTTGCATATTTTCCCATTCCTGTTCACATTTCAACGGGTTAACATTTCACAATTTTTTCACATTTCTATGCCAAACACTGTTTTTTCATACAAAAAAGTCATGTTCTCCACAAAATATATTGTGTGTGCGCACACACACATGCATGTAAAATACATTTTTACACAACCCAACCCTCCAAAACAGCTGGCCCTTTTGTTCTCACACAAGGGCAAATAATGTTGTAGCAGCTGTATTCATTTTCGATAGATGTCTCCCTTTCTTGTTGAGATTGAGAAAAATTGTGACTACTGCATAACTAATTTTCTTATGGGATAAGCTTTTGGTGATTTCAACCCACTCTTCTTGAGATGTCAGCAGTAGATCTGAAAACAGACCACCCTTTGTCTTTCCAGAGCTGTCTCACTACAAGTCACTTCAAATATAATAGTAAAGGTGTAGGCCCTCAAGACACAAGGAAACAAAGTCTCATTACTATGTTTAACAAGAAGCAAGGGCTAGCAAAAGGGAAACCAATGAGGAAACTAGAGGAAGTATTTACTTACTTAATTACTTAACTTAGGGCCTTTGCAGACTGCCAGAAATAGTGCACATTAAATTGAGGCCTTGCCCTGGCTCAGTGCTAGGGAATCATGGGAACTGTAATTTATTGTGGCACCAGAGCTCTCTGACAGAGAAGGCTCAATGTCTCAGAAAAAAACTACAATTCCCATGATTCCCTAGCACTGAGCCAGGGCAGTGCCTCAATTTAATGTGCACTATTTCTGGCAGTCTGCAAAGGCCCTTACTTACTCGTTTCTCCTACGGTTGGATCCAAGGCAGCTCCCAGGGCAAGACATAAGGGTTGAAATCATCATTGTTGTTGTTGTTGGCCAGAATCCTGTTAGACAGTTACGAATGTGAAACCTTGATTTACACACTTATCACTGTTACATATTCACAATTTCCATGTAGTCTCTAGTTTAGGGACTGTGAAAGAACCCCAATCCATGGGCAGCAGCCTCTGCAATCAATAGGGGGTTTGTTCCCCTATTGATTGGGAAACAAATGGTTGACAATCCCTTCTTCCTTGCATAAGTGATCTCCAACATGAGGAGGAATTGCAGTGGGGTCCTGCTTCTCCCTGTTACACCGGAGATTGCTCACAAGAGGAAGTGGGACTATCATTTAACTGCTTCCTGATTGACAAGGGAATGGCCCTTCATTGATCTCAATAGCTACTTTCCAGTAAGTGGGGACTGGGTGGATCAGGATGGGATTCACAGAGAAGCACCTTAACTATGGTGCTTACACATTTGCAACTCCCCAATAGGAGTCTGGCCATTATTTATTAAATTTATTTCTATTCCTGTGGGATTCAAGCTGGCTTACAGATTTAAAAAGAGTACAATAAAACTATACAAAATGTCCACCTAAAAAAGGTTCAAAATATCAACATTAAAGTAGAATTAAACTGTTAACAATATTAAAAATTCATTCTAAAACAATTTTAAACATTAAACAATACAATTTAAAACAATACAGTGATCAGCCATTTGCTAAAGCCATTAATTCAGTCAAAGGGTAGGAGATGTAGAAGGGCCTGGGGGAGTAGTTTGATGGGCAAGTGAGAAATGAGAAACTGACATGGGATGGATCAGGTCAGCATCCCTGCCCCAAGGAAATGGTTCAACACCAACTTAAGTGCTACCAATTCATTGTGACTACATAAATCCCACAGTCCTAAAGTCTCCCATGGGACCTTGTTGCCCATGGCCATTTTCACAGTTTGAACCTGTTAGGTCTAAGCCTTCCCTTCAATTCAACATAGTTTAGATTTTATACTTTGAACTATTGCAGGGTCACTGTCATCAGAGGCACACCAAAGGATAAGGAAAACCCAACTGCTGTATAAAACAGAAGTGTCTGCCTATGGTCTCTGGCATAATTTTATGCAGCCTTTAGCTCAGTTTATTGATTCAGTTTTGACCTCTGGTAAGAATGATCAGACTCTTCCCTGGAAGCCCACTGATGTGAAGGAAGAGAGAAAGAGAGGCAAAAGGAGTTAGTAGAAAGAGAGACATCCTCTCTACTTTTAACTTTGGAGTCAGCCATCACTTATTCCAGTTCCAACTAGACAGGTTACATGTGAAGGAATGTGGCCCTAACAAAGGGGAAACTGGTTGACCACCCTTTTGTTAAATAATCCATACACAAATCTTCAGAGCTTTCTAAAGCTCTCACATTCCTACTTTCACTTGGTGCCCTTTATACATTTCAGCCTCATCATAGGATGACAACATGAAAAAGCTATTTCTACATCACTGTTATCATGTAGAAAGATTACACATTTCCTTAGGTCTTTTATTACTAGAAAAATAATGACCATTCATTTTTATGGGTTGGATTTTCCACACTTAACTGAAAATCTCTACTCATTATTCTATACTTTTATTTTCTGCCAGTATATGATAAAATGCCACTGCATAATGAACCAATTAAGCCTAGTAGTACCTCGGTTATGAGGTTTAATATCCTGTTGGTTAAGTTACATCTTCAGTAATTTAGGTCTAAAACACAATACAGAAATAATTCAGTGTGAGACTGCTTTAACTGCCCAGATCAATGCTAGGGAATTATGGGACCTGTAGTTTTGTGAAACATTTAGCCTTCTCTGTCAGAGAGCTCTGGTGCCACAACAAACTACAAACCCCAGGATTCCCTAGCACTGGGCAATTGTATTTTAAGATATGTATGAACCTTTAGCTATATTTCCAGGACAGTTAACAGGATAAAAATATCCCATAAAGAGAAAGTAATCCACAAAAATACAATAAAACCACATTAATCCCAACAAGACAGCATGCACTTTTCATTTCTACACTGTTACTAAGTGAATTCCCAATTCCTTTCTAGTATTAATGCAAATTTTATTTGTTATTTCAAGTTAAACATGAAAAATGTGAATAGGATTTTATTAACTAACAGTAGAACTACTGTCATGGAGCAAAGGGATTACAATATTTTATCACCCATCTCATTATCAAAATTAATGAACAAGAACACTTTTCCTACAATGAGTAGATATATATTCCATCATCATTATTTTTTTTAAAAAAAGAATCTTTTCTGAACCCAATTTTCTCCACATTTATCTTGTTACCTTAGAAAATCAAGGTAGTCTGAGGTTGAGGAAACTGATTGCAAAGCTAAAAACAGTTTCCCAGGATCAAGCCCATTGTTA